CCTACCTGGACCAGGTCTTGAAGCTGGGATTGAATCTGTTGAAGAGAGAATCACTCATGCAACGATATGACACAGTTGTCTGCTGTCACCCAGCAGCTCACCAGGGCACTGGTGACAGGGTGCTGTTATCTCCCTCCACCCACAGCACTCGGGGCTTCTGGCATTTGCTTTTGTTCAAAGCAACAAGTCTAGAGAATCAGAGACTCCAAACCACGTCTTTTCTTTTTCCTTCTCCGAGCACAGAGGAAAAGCTACACAGCTCTTTTCTGAACGGCTAGATTCCGTGTTATGAGATAGACACTCTGTTCATGGTGACAGGCAGCTCTGAAACCCACCCTCTACTGCACAGTTCCTTTTTAAAGCAATACCAAAGAAACATAGCTGGGAAATATCAGCAAAATTGGCTTGTACAGAAACCTTGGAGCATTCCGCATTGTGCTTCCTCTCCAAGTGCCTGACACCAAGCTCTGCCATGCCAAAGGGTTTTGCTTCTCCCAAGGTAAACACACTTCAGGCCGAGATGACAATTCCCTGCACTGTAAGCTCCACAGTTCAAATTTGCATGAGCAGTGCTTTAAAGAGTTCTGAATCCCGCTGCTATCGTGTCACACTGCTGCAAAAAACCTCAGTATCTCCTCACATTTAAGGAAAGAGCAGGACAGAATCACATTCTCTCCCTGACCAATTTTGCTCTGGCTTTCCTTCCCCTACAAGCAAGCTCTTACCCAGTAAGGCTTCCAAAAACACAACCAAAAGGCTGCCCGAGCTCTTGCAAACCACCACGCCAAGGCCATTTCCTACAACCTTGAGTACAAAAAGCAGTAACCCCAGATCCTACTTGTTTGGGGAACAGGTCACAACTCCTGACCTGAGATGGTTTTCAACACTGTTTGTAGAAGGTTCTTCCTGGAAGATGCACATACCAGGAAGGACTCAGACTAGCTACACAGACCCAACAACATCCTATAACATCATCTCCCAAATTGTTAACCAGAAAGCAGGCCTCAGTTCAGCAGCCACAGTCCAGGGACTCCAACCTGTTTTCCACTGGCCTTGCATGACGAGAGACAGGAAAGCTGGAATTCTCAAGTCACACTGTTTCCTTGAAAGGGACATCCCAGTCCAAGGCAACTTAACTCACCTTGTTTAAGCTAACAGCACACAGGTGACAACACTGTAAAAGCACTAACTAAATTAAAACAAGCAAACAATCAAGATAGCTATCACAAAATTGTTTTTCTTTCTGACTGGATAAAGGAGTGGTTAAAATCTCTATTTTCCAGCAGAATGCACTAGGTCATGCTGTCTTGACAGTCTGCAGCAGAAAAGAACTGCTAGCAACCACACGCAGTGCTGCACTTACCCAGAGGTGCTGTTGGCTTTGCCTTCTTGGCTGGAGCAATGTCATCTGCTCTGGACTCGGAAAAAGAGGCTGTTCTGCTTGGTGCTGGAGTCTGAAAGATTTAGAAGCCAAGTCAGGAGGAGACTGTGTCAGAAATGGAGACGGGGTATTTTCTTCATGCAGTTGTGGCTGTGCAAGGCCTTACAAAGGGAGAATTCCTGCAAGAGGGGAACTCACCGAGGGGCTGCCGCTGGCGTTGAGGAGGAAGTTGGCAGTGTGAGCTGCAGCAGGGGGCTGGTTGGGGATGGGCCGGTGGCCCAGAGCCATCCCCACGATAGCCGTCATGTGGGTTTCCGTGCCAAAGACGTGGATGGGGATCCCCGTGGTCTTCCCTGGGGACGCAGGCAGAATCATAGAACGCTTAAGGTTGGA